ATGTCTGCTGTTGTCTCTGTGTCTGTTTTCAGTGCTTCTGGCGGAATTCCACCTGTCATAATACAAAGAGGCGATAATCTCTTATGAGACATTCTTCATATTGCGTGTGTGTGTGGAGTGGGATAACAATAAAGCATCTTATTCATTCACCGGCATGTCTAGACATGATAACTATGTATATCTAGGTAAGTAGAAGTCACTGGCTTTTTATAAAATGGTTTTTAATTATCAAGCGCTTAAAATCGAAAGTGAAGATTAGTTTTACGGAGTGGCTTTAATAGCAACTGATGAGAAAATCAACTAGGTTTCTTTGTTTTTTGAAAAAAAGATTTACTATTCAAGCTGGAGTAACAAAATGTGGTTGTTTATTTCAGCAATTGCTTGGATAGTCTCTGTCATCATTCATATGTTCAAGTTTTGAAGAAACCGTCATCAATGCAATGTACTTGAATGTTTGAGTAACATGCTGTTAAACTTGACTGCAGTTAGTATTTCAAGGTGTTATTCATCGTAGAACAAAGGAAACCTCGGAGCACTAGAGAGCTGTTTCGTCCGACTAGTACGAGACTCCTCAGTAGTGCTCACCCACGACCCCACCAGGGATCGAACCTGCGACCTTTAGGTTTCGCGGCCAGCGCATTATCATTGCGCCATTGGGTCAGAGTCTAATGGTCCATATTTCCAACTTCTGTTAGCTCACGATATAGCTGGCCACGGAACCTGAAGGTCGCGGGTCCCATCCCTGGCGGGGTCGTGGATGCGCACTACTGAGGAGTCCCGTGCTAGGACGAAACAGCTGTCCAGTGCTCCCAGGTTTCTTTTGTTCCTCCAACTTATGTCAGTCTACGATGAATAACAACTTGAAATATTTCCAAATCTCCACATTTACCTCAGAATACAGTTAGTATTTATTGTAAATGTTTCATTTTTGACAAAAAAAGTAGACAATGATTTTATTAAATATTCTTGATTTCTTTCACAAAAAGAAATTTGTTTGAAGTAAATATACTAAAATCATTGGGGGTCCATTCAATAATAATGTATTTTGAGGTTAATTGAGATTTTAATTTTCAGATAGTATTCATTATGAATTAATGAATGGTTACTACGTTCACCGTAAAACGTAAAAAGCCTTGAGTTCTATCCCCTATAGTGTCACAATTATGCATTGCTGAGTAATCCTATATTAGAATGAAATAGCTGTCTAATACTCTCAGGTTTTTTAAATGTTTCTCCAAGTAATAATTATCGGTGATAAATACTATCTCAATAATATATTTACTTGTAATCATCTCATGAATAATAGTGTTTTATGTGAAGATATTTTCCATTCACCCAGATTTTATGTCTTAGTTTATTTGTACATGGTATACACAAATCAGATAATCGTTTCTTTCTGTTCATATATATATATATATATATATATATATATATATATATATATATATATATATATACATGTATACATATATGCATAAGCATAGTAGTGTGATATTTTACCAAGAAATTAAATAATCAATAATATTGATTTTTATTTTTGAAAACATTATTAGTCATTGTATATATACAAAATAAATCTTTATTTGGAACTATTTGATTTTCTTTATAAAAGACATTAATTTTTATCATTTTTGCCGGATTCGAACCAACGACCACGGAATTTTTGACCTGATCTATAAAGTCCGACTGTTGACTACTTAATTGTCAGAGGATTGTATCGGAAACTGGTTGGTCCGTGGTTTGAATGGGGGCCTTAGTTGAAATTTTCTATTCACTTTCAATCATCATACAGTATGAATACTAGTCTGCCAAACTATGACTACTATCTCGGATAATGAAAATGATGCTTTCCCTCTCTAATTCAGTTAGATTTTAATTGGGATGTGAAGTCCTGACTGGGTAACCAGTGTGAATACAATCAAGCGGTAAGAACGCGTCACAAATTCCCATGGTGATTGAAATGAAATAAAAATCTGGTCAGCAGTCAGACCTCAAAGTCGTTCGAACATCGAGCCAGCAACTCGGTGGTCGCTGGTTAGAATCTGGCTACGGTCCAAATTCTCATTTCACCTTCAATCATCACCCAGTATAAATATCCACTAGTGAAAGGTGAAAAGTTGACTCAAAGCTAGGATGTTTTCTCTTTTCAAGTCATAACTTGAAAGAAGTCATTGGGTTAATTGATTTGAAGCAAGAACAGTCTATTGAAATGTATTATATTCAAATACTCAATGTTATAACGACCGCCACCACCACCACCACCAACCTCCAGGTTACCGGCTCTAGTTCGAATCCTACTGAAGCCTAGATTTTCACCTTCAATGATCACCTGATATCAATAATACAAGTTTACCAGATTATAGCCATTGCAACGTCACACACTGCCCCAGAATCAATGGCCTAGGGTTCGACGAGATTCAACATTAATGCTGACCTTCATAGTTTAACTGGATTCGCTAATATGAAGGCACCCGGTCAAACATCCACGCCATTTGGCACACTGTTGTGTTACGTTGCACTGCTCGTAATCGACCCTCTAGCCAGTTAGTTGTAACGCATCTGTATTTTGACACGCAAATATACTATTCCATCCGACTACGCTATTGTGTTTGTTCTTGGTCTCTAATTCGTGGGTATATAACAAGTATGAATAATTAGTGATTGGCCTCCGCATCTGTCAAGTTCGCACCAGGACAATTCCTAAACCATCTTAAATTTAAAAAGGTTTCTACGTTAAGTTTTGTCATTTTAAGTGGTTCAGTATTCAATACTAAGTAAATTCTAAATAAGGTGTATTATTATTATTATTTGTCCCTTGGGTTCCTAGTGGAACATACCGATTCAGTAGCACGTCTCCAGTGCACTCTCTTCTCTGAAATCTTTTCAACCTGGCTACACGATAGCCCACAACCTCTCATTTCTCTTACTCACACGATCTCCTCCATGTCACCCTCGCCTCAAACGCCCAACTCATCGCTTCCCATCTGGGTTACACTTGAGGGTCTGGCCTGACACGTGATATCCCCGAATGGTCTTCTCAATGCATGTCCAATCCATCTCCACTTCCTTCTAATGCATATTTGTTCAGTGACAGGTTGTTGGTTGGTTCGTTAACAGCCAGCTAGGCAGAGTTCGTTGTTGCTTATTCTTACTATTCTGGCAATCCATCTGAGCTTCAGTGTAGAGCCAGTGTAGGTAGTTGTTTATGAATGTCTGTAGTTTGTTGAAAATGCCTTTCTTAACGTGCCAAGTCTCTGAGCTATACAGAAGCACTGACTTGACTGGTGTTGGTATTGAAAATCCGGATGTTGTTCACACTTTATACTGGCTGAGTGCAGTGCGTTGGATCTGCACACTGGTTTGAGGTTAATGAAGGCCTGTGTTGCTGTGTTTGCGATCGTGGTTGGCTTTGACATTTTCGTGTGTGCCTGTGCTGCGTGTAGTTGAAACAGTGATGCTTAGGTGGTTGGTGAAGGAGGCTACTTTCTTTAGGTTTCTGCCATTGATGGTGATTGGTGTCTGTTGTTGTTGTTGTTGTTGGTGGTGGTGGCGTTGGTCGGGTATCATCATCGCCTGTGTCTTCTCTACATTCACTTGAAGTCCCGTTTTCGAGTTTGTGGGACATGAATTATAAATCATCGTTGGCGAAATCCAAATGTTTTAGTTTCTTTTCTGTGACCCAGTGTATCCCCCTCTTCTCGCTTCTATGAATACTATGATATTGTATAATATTATCGTTAACTGTTTGAACAAAAAAAAACATTTTGATTTCAAGCGTAAGAAAACGTTTATTTTGCTAACTCCTCCTTTATTATTTTATTATGGTGGGCATCAGGTATGTATGTTCCTTATGAGTTCTATATGGTTTCAGTGAACACTAAGGATATTCAAAGCTACAAAATATTTACTGTAATTTATACGACAGGAGTGAAACAAGGTTGTCTACTATCCCCCATGATATTCCTGATTGTGGTGGACTGGATCATGCAGCAAACAGTGGGGAGCGAGAAGAGGGGGATATGCTGGACCGCGGAAAAGAACCTAGAAGACTTGGATTTCGCCGATGACTTGTGCCTGATGTCACACAAACTTGAAGACCTACAGGCGAAAACTAACAAGTTGGCAGAAGAGGCAGGGCAGCGAAGACGCGACTTCAGGTGAATATAGAGAAGACAGAAGTGATGAAGATACCGCACCAACAATTCCAACTACAACAACAAACTCCAATCACCATCAACGGGAGAAACTTAAAGGAAGTAACCTCCTTCACCTAACTAGAAAGCACTGTTTCAACTGCAGGCGATGGCGGGACAGACGAGGATGTCAAAGTCAGAGTCAGAAAAGCAAGACAAGCGTTCATTACCCTGAAATTAGTGTGGAGATCTTCTGCACTGAGCATGAGGAACATGATCCGGATTTTCAACACCAACGTCAAGTCAGTGCTCCTATATGGTTCAGAGACTTGGCGCGTTACGAAAGGGATTTCCAATAAACTACAGACATTCATCAACAACTACCTACACTGGCTCGCTACTGAAGATGAGATGGCCAGAATAATAAGAATAAGCAACAAGGAGCTCTGGGAACGAACCAACCAAGAACCTATCACCCAACAAATATGCAGTAGAAGTAAGTGGAGGTGTATTGGATATACACTGAGAAGGCCGACTGGGGACATCACGCGTCAGGCCAGGTACTCGAGTGGAGTCCTCACGGGAAGCGATGAGTTGGACGTCCGTGGTGAGGGTGACATGGAGGAGATCGTGAGAGGAGGAAATTAGAGGTTGTGGGCTGTCGTGGAGCCAGGTTCAAAAGATTTCGGAGAACAGAGTTCACTGGAGACGTGCTACTGAAGCGGTATGTTCCATTAGGAACCCAAGGGACTAGTAATACGCAATTATGTCATTCTTAGTTAATTACAATCATTGATGTTGAACTAAATGTTATGCCATATACTAATCGATACTTTTGTTTTGTTTTTGCTTAAAATTTTCCCTTAGTGATGTTACCATTATTGTACAATTCTGTGAAGTGACGGAACTACCAGTACAACTGATTAAATTAATGCAATCGTTTATTAACTGTACAAAATTGCATCAAGTAAGTCACCTTTTAATGAGATAATAAAATTTTGTTCAGTAGAACTCTTCGACTTTTCTTCTCGTCTATGGTCCTCCTAACCAAATCGACTTTAATATTATGACTAATAGATTATTGAGGGTTTCAAGGTAAGGTTGTTTCTGTTAGAATTTATCAAGATGTAAAAAGTAACTAGTTCAACCAGTGAAGTCTATCAGGAGCATTAAAATATATGAAATGTGTAATATTAATATTTTGATCAATTGGGACCATGTGGTACAGTTGTGTTTATATTGCCCTACTTTCATCTAAACACAAAGAGATAATTGACCTGAAGAAGAATGTCATAGATATATAAAGGAAGCGTATCTTTTCATACCTTTTACTATGATGATTGTCAATAGACACGGTGCCAAGGTTAGGCACTGAAATTCAATACATGGCAGTATGCACGGAAAAGGAATAAAATGATACCATCAATAGACTTCATGAATACTCTTCAGCTGATGTATACAGTCTAAAAGTACAATTTCATAGTTAGGAAATCAATAATTTTAAGTTGTACAACAAAATCTTTTATATAACACGTGAGAGAATTAATTGTACAAACAGGTAAAAGATGTGAGAAAGAAAAAATAATAGTAAATAAACAAATAAAGAGTTATGTAATGAAAACAAAAAAACAGGATCAAATAATCGTTACCAGGGGGAGAGAACGACTAATCTCACTTTCCTTTTGTAAACAAAAGTCAAACTGAAAGCGAAACTTAGTAATCCAGACATTTTCTCTACGTTTGTAATTTTAAAAGTATTCTAGGTTTCAACCTGATTTTGTACCCCTACGAGGTGTCTGGTTAAAATTTAACTTCCTAATCAAAACATTTAACAAAAGAAGTAGGAAATTATGCTCTGGAAACAAGCTAAATGAAAAACTAAGCATTAGTGAGAAGTGTGTCCGTGAGAATGGACATCCTAGAAAAGAAGAGATTGAGAGAAAGAAACATCTAACTGTGAAAAAGAAGAAGGTTTGAATACACCTTACATTTAAAGGAGATGTTATATCCAAGGGAATAGACACAAGAATGAAAGGGGGGGGGAGGAGGGTACTGAGAAGGAGCTTTTCTATAGATAGATTTATACGAGTATACAATACCACATGCTCGCTAAAACAGTCAAACTGCTAACTATATACATATGCACTCGCGGTAACAAGAACATTGGAAGGACTTAGAGAAGAGCATCCATTCAGTTTTGCTGAGTATATCCTCAAGAATCTGTACTTGAAAGGAAGTGAAATTCTAACCAGTGTAATTGTTAAATACCTCACAGGCATGCAAAATCAGGTTGAAACCTAGAATGCTTTTAAAGTAATAAATGTACAGAAAATGTCTGGATTACTGAGCTGTTGTACTAAGGATTATCCACTACACCACCGAGCCACGATAGCCACTTCTTGTGTGACGGGTATAATTTTAGTGTTATTGCTTGGATTACACGGTCACTGATTGGACCGAATTGATCAATCTCTGTTGGCGTATAGGTTCCTGTGGGGATGCCTCGATATTGCCTGTTTTAATTATGCATAATAATGATGTTTCAATTCTTTGTTTAACTCCTGGCTCTGACTACTCAGTTTTCTAGTTCTATTATTTAGGTGTTTGACCAGACGCACCTTGACTGACATTCGATGAGATGATTTGAAGTCTAGATACCTGTTAGAATGTATCGGTTTCCTACAGACGGTAGTATGCAAACTACCGTCTGTTCGTCCTTTTACTCTTCAATACAGCATAGCTAATTCTCTTTGTTCATTTTCTACACCGTAAGTAAATTGGATTACGCTTACTACTGAGTTTATACATATATGAGGAAATTGTGGGTATGTTTCGATTTCAATACAGTAAATGTGTCATCCACATATCGCTACCATATCTTATATACACAACTAAATGTTCGTAAAGCCATGTTTTCCCAACTAACCATAAATATATCTGCTACGATTAGGGATATTGGTGATCCCATTCCTACTCCTTCTGTTTGTTTATATATTTTGTCCTGAAACTTGTAGACCGTGGAGGTCAGGCACAACTTTACGCCTAATATGATTTCACCAAGTGATATCTTAGTTCTGTAAGTTGTCAGTCAATATTTAATTGATTTCTGACTGTCTGCAGTGCCATATCAATTGGTATTCTAGAATAAAGACTTGTTACATCGAAAGTAAACCAAAAAAGGCTAGGATGAAGAAACTATGCAGAGCTAGGAAATCATCGTATGTGGGATCTTAATGGATCTAAGTGATATTGTGGTGTATATTTTACTCCTTGACTTGATCAATAGACTTGAGTCAGTGCTGATCACGAAAAGCTAGACAGTTAAATTGGTTACCGATTCGTATATTTATCTAACTAACCAGGAATAATGTTTGGTTTTTATAGGGATGCACAAGTCTTTAATTTTTATGGTATATTGAATTCAGCTGATTACATTGTCACTTTTGTTTGTTTTTTCGCTTTTATTCAGAAAATGTGGTATGAACAAATCCTCTTGGATCTTATTATAGCGATGAATGCATACTTTGTCAGTGAAATTGGTCAAAGACAAGCTATTCCACATTCTGTGTAAGTTTAAAGCGGGGAAACAGTTGACTAGTTCACAGCGTATACGAATTTTGAATTGCTAACCTGACGAATTTGTGTACTAGTTTACTTCTTTGGTGATGAAATACTGGTTTGAAGATGTAAATAAAAAGGGGACTGAGAACATCCCTCTGAACTACTTTATACAACAATGTCCTAAAATATGAGATGTGCAGCTGAAAATAAGGCTGGTAATTTCAGTCTATGATTCGATGAATTCTATTTGGAGGTTTGTAGGCATTTATTGATTTAAGGTTGGTATTCATCATGGACTGACATTAGTAGAAAGAACATTGGAGACCTAGGAGGCCTGGACAACTGTTTCATCCTAGCCTACGGCTTCCCAGCTATGCGGTTCCCTGGCTCGGGTCGGACCCCATGACCTTCCGGTTCTGCGACCAGCACGTTACTGCTAAGTCACTGGGTCGGAACCAAGTGGTCTGTATTTCCTACTTCTTTCAGTTCACTATTGGTGCACATCCTCCATTCTTCTCACTGGTGACTAGCTTCGAGAGGCGATTCCCGAAGTTACAGTGAGAAGTCGTCACTGGAGGGGTCGAGCATGAGAACAGTTTCTCAACGACGGCATTGGATGGAGGTTTCACTATACTTTGAACTGACAAAAGTAAGAAATGGGGACCATTAGAGTTTGATTGCGGAACCTGAAGGTCTTGGGTTCGATATCTGGACGAAACAGCTGTCCATTACTCTCAGGCTCCCAATGTTTCTTCAACTGATTTCATTTCCTGATGTGAATACCAAGCTGAAATTAATAAATAAATCCCTGCAAACCTTCAAGTTGAATTTTAAATATGATTTTAAGTGAGTTTTACACCAATCAATACAAATACATTGATCAATATAGTATGAGTCTTTTTTTATGATTTGTTTTTTTACTGTTCTAATGGAATCTCTATCGACTAAACACTAAACACCACACGTAGACACGTTGTAAGCGTGTGTACTACACACCCCGACTAGGCATTTAATATGTGCTAAAAGCCAAGATAAGTATTATTATAGTCATGTGATTTACAATATTTTACTCTGATCAATCAGAACTAACCTTGTCGTATTGGACTAATCACATCCGTAGTATAATCAAGCTGTTAGTATCGATTACTTTGGATGAAAACTATTGTAAGTGTTTACTGCCTGACTATGCTGATATTCAATTAAGTTGGTTTCCATACTCCTTTAAGATTATGACTGTCTAACTAAGTGTTAAATGGCTATAAGCAGTGATCATCAATTTGCCTTAGAAATTGTTTTTACGTTCAGTATCGCTTTTATAAAGTGATTCATAATGCGAAGCCCAGTGATGCTTTTGGACTGAAGACAGGAGTAAAACAAGGCTACATACTATCACCTACAATATTCCTGATTGTAGTGGACTGGATCATGCAACAAATAGTGAGGAGCGAGAAGAAGGGGTTACGCTGGCTGGGCCGAGGAAAAGAGCCTAGAAGATTTGGATTTCGCCAACGATGACTTGTGTCTAATGTCTTGTGGCACAAACTTGAAGATGTACAGGCGGAAACTAACAAGTTGACAGAAGAGGCAGGGCAGGGCAGCGAAGACGCGACTTCGAGTGAATGTAGAGAAGACACAGGCGATGATGATACCCGACCAACGCCAACAGCAACAACAACAACAGACACCAATCACCATCAGTGGCAGAAACCTAAAGGAAGTAGCCTCCTTCACCAACCACCTAAGCATCACTGTTTCAACTACACGCAGCACAGGCACACACGAAAATGTCAAAGCCAACCACGATCGCAAACACAGCAACACAGGCATTCATTAACCTCAAACCAGTGTGCAAATCCAACGCACTGCACTCAGCCAGTATAAAGTGTGAACAACATCCGGATTTTCAATACCAACACCAGTCAAGTCAGTGCTTCTGTATAGCTCAGAGACTTGGCACGTTAAGAAAGGCATTTTCAACAAACTACAGACATTCATCAACAACTACCTACACTGGCTCGATACTCAAGATCAGATGGATTGCCAGAATAATAAGAATAAGCAACAAGGAACTCTGACTGGCTGGCTGGCTGTTAACGAACCAACCAACAACCTATCGCTGAACAAGTATGCATTGGAAGGGAGTGGAGATGGATTGGGCATGCATTGAGAAGACCATTCAGGAACATCACGAGTCAGGCCAGACCCTCAAGTGTAACCCAGATGGGAAGCGATGAGTTGGGCGTTTGATGCGAGGGTGACATGGAGGAGATCGTGTGAGTAAGAGAAATGAGAGGTTGTGGGCTGTCGTGTAGCCAGGTTGAAAAGATTTCAGAGAAGAGAGTGCATTGGAGACGTGCTACTGAATCGGTATGTCCCACTATGAACCCAAGGGACAAATAATAATTAATCGCTTTTATAAAAATTTTAGTAGACTTAAGTCATCTTAGAGACTCCCGCACATCGGATCCATTACCACAACGAAGATCGTTTTCATTGATATTCAAACATGAAGTTTTGTATGGTTAATTGTACGTTGTAAGAGTCTGCAATACTGATACAATCAGCGTTTCTATTCGTCAATCGTTTATTCACACCTAAGATTGTACTATTCTGAGAAGAGGTCGATGAAATCAACCATCTCTGCGAATTCTCAACGTGGATACTAATTTATGTACAACTCATTCAAATTTATCGATTGAAGCAAGGTATTTTTGCCAATAATAATTAGGAATATTGCATTAGACAATCGATTACTCCACGTTTCAAACTATTCTTATTGATCGATCATTTCTGGGATTCTGATATAGCTTAGCTTTTTGATCATTGATTATTATTTGTCCCTTGGGTTCCTAGTGGAACATACCGATTCAGTAGCACGTCTCCAGTGCACTCTCTTCTCTAAAATCTTTTCAACCTGGCTACATGACAGCCCACAACCTCTCATTTCTCTTACTCACACGATCTCCTCCATGTCACCCTCGCCTCAAACGCCCAACTCGTCACTTCCCATCTGGGTTACACTTGAGGGTCTGGCCTGACTCGTGATGTTCCTGAATGGTCTTCTCAATGCATGCCCAATCCATCTCCACTTCCTTCTAATGCATACTTGTTCAGCGATAGGTTGTTGGTTGGTTCGTTAACAGTCAGCCAGCCAGTCAGAGTTCGTTGTTGCTTATTCTTACTATTCTGGCAATCCATCTGAGCTTCAGTGTAGAGCCAGTGTAGGTAGTTGTTTATGAATGTCTGCAGGTTGTTGGAAATGCCTTTCGTGACGCGCCAAGTCTCTGAGCCATATAGGAGCACTGACTTGACTGGTGTTGGTATTGAAAATCCGGATGTTGTTCACACTTTATACTGGCTGAGTGCAGTGCGTTGGATTTGCACACTGGTTTGAGGTTAATGAATGCCTGTGTTGCTGTGTTTGCGATCGTGGTTGGCTTTGACATTTTCGTGTGTGCCTGTGCTTCGTGTAGTTGAAACAGTGATGCTTAGGTGGTTGGTGAAGGAGGCTACTTCCTTAAGGTTTCTGCCATTGATGGTGATTGGAGCTTGTTGTTGATCAGTTAATAAAATCGATTTTTAGGTATGAACTCTGGTTGCAAATTAGGTTGTCTTGTGAGGTGTAGATTTCAGGTGGATTGTTCAATTTTTGATTATTACATAGAGCTGGTGATTTTAGCCCTTAGAAGTGAGTTTCTCTTATACTTTACGAAATTTTGTAGATGTTTATAATTGGTTGGTTTAATCAACTGTTATGTCATGGATTGGCTTAGTTGGTTACGCTTTCTTACACTAATCTATGCAGGGATGGTTAATCGAGTTCTTTGTTTCGTATAAACTGAAGTTATTGCTGACGATGCCGTCCAGAAAGACGATGAAATCTTCACAAATACGCAACGCAGCTCAGAGAACACAATAAAACCAAGAAACAAGTGTCCAGTGCTCGCAGTCCACGATATATATGTCAAGCTGAAATCGATAAATAATTTCCCTGCCAATCTCCAAATTGAATATCTGATTACTATTGCAATGGAGACTGTTCATTCGTTTTTACTAACAGTAGAGCATTAATATCTAAGTTATTCGTGTGGCAGGAACTGAGAACTTATCATTATTATGATTTATCCCTTGAATTACTAATGGAACATAGGGCTTTAGTAGCACGTCTCCAATGCGCTCTGTTGTCTGAAATCTTTTGAACCTGGCTCCACGACAGCCCACAAGCTCTCATTCCTTCGTCGCACGATCTCCTCCATGTCATACTCGGATACCCAACTGAGAACTTTCACTAGACTAAAGTCAATATCATCATTCCTATTTCTTGACTGTTTCAAAACCCAGTGTGCCAAAAAAAGAGAGAGAGAGATTGCTTAAGTTTTCATGCAGTTGGATGGTAGTCATGCTATAAACAAAGTGAGCAAAATGGATTTAAACGTATTAGTAGAATGGATTCAGCGATAAAAAAAAATGATAAAGGAATGTATAATTCTATTTTCAAATGAAGTAAACATTTTTTTATTCCGAATAAATTAAACTTTCATAATCGATAGTAATCAAGATGGCTTGCATTAACTTTTTCTCGATTCATTTTACTTATTTCCTTTTCGATTGTTTTTATTGTCATTGTTGTTACCAATTTAGATTAAGAGGATATACAGAACATGCACTTTGTTTCATTGAACTTGTACCGAGACTTGTGAATCAGGAATGTGATAAAGAATTACATTTACGCGACCAAACTTTGCTAGTAAGTGAATGATCCTATTATTTTTTAAGTTATATAAGAATAACTTATATTCTCTCTTCTTACACCTTCGTTATAAACCAATCTTTAACTGTATATATTAAGGTTAAGGGACATATGATATGGCTAGATTTGTGTTGATATAAGCTTTCGTTTAGAGCTCATCATCATCATCATTATCATCATTATCGTTTAGAGCTGTTGAGAATCGAACCGTTGTAGTGATCAACTTCAATGCAGAAACTGAAAAATGTTTAGGTACAGTCTTCGAAATCCTAGCGTGGATCACTTCCTATAGTTGTGGTCAGACAACTGTTTATTTTTAGACGACATGAATTTCAGATATAAAGAGAAATATCTTCTTACCTGGTGTTCACCGATTTGAACTCAGCGTTTGACACATTGGCCGTGTCATTATTGGTTACCATTCAAGACCACCAATGGAAGACTACTGTCGATCCAAGCATATGTTTTGGCATTCAAATAGAGGCATAATGACTACAACTGGGAGATCATTCTGAATTCATTCTTTTATCACTACTTTATAAAACGATCTGTCGAAAAAGCATTTGGGTAATGACAATTCCACTCATCCTGATGAAGTCTGGTTCTATTTCAAGACCTTAACTGACACTCAGGAAAACAGTAGAAAGGATTAGGAAGTCACAGTATCTTCATTCGAATTGATGGATACTCACCAAAGTATCTCTGCAAGCTCTAAGCACAAGAAGAAGTGATTCTAGCTTCAGTGTGGGGTGACAAAGAGCTTACGCAATGACTACGAGCAGTGAAGGTCAAAGACGATAACCAATAGTAGACGGTCGTTAGAATTAGTAAGAAAAATGGAGTGAAAAAGTTGATGGTTAGTGTGATCATGGCGGGGAAACATGAGTTTGGGATTAGTTCACCGGAGAGGTGACTGAAGCCATGCGAGATATAGTTCAACTGACTTCCAGCTATCCTCGATTGCTCTATGTTTATTTACAGTTGAAGCGCAACATTGAGATAGGGTTTCCTAATCTTTCAGAAGTTAAAAAAGCTGTAAATAACTTAAAATAAAGAAAAGCAGCAGCACCAAAGGTGTATGAATATGGTCGCTGAAGGTTATCGAGTATACTGACTGAAGTGATGGCTTACATACAGGAAGCAGATATGATCCTCTTTGACTAATCACTGTAGTCAATTATTCTGGTGGGCGAAAGATTATCCATCCATCCACGTATTTCAGCAAATAGTCTGTTTTCGGTGAATCCACTCTCAAAGCTGTAGTATCACAAATTTATACATTTTTCTTTGTGTTAGGGTTTGATAAGTAAAAGCAAATTTGTCAAGCGTGGCCGAAAAAATTAGCGTCAATAGGATGAGCTGTCATTAAAATTAAAAGTTGTGATGAATGTTGAAGATTCATCAGTTACATAAAGATGATGACTGAGTTTGGATAAGAAGTTTTTTAACATGAAGTGTGATCACAGAGAGCATAGAAGCAAGAAGGAATGACAGTTTTGGTAAGAAGTGGACGGTGGAAAGTGAAAGAGGTGATTTCAAAAACGGAGTGAAAAGCATGAAAAGAGAAGAGGTTGAACATTTTTCGTTTGAGTACGAAGCTCAGGTTTCTCTGTATCGATTGTCAGGGCTTCGATGATTCAGAGGATACGAAAACATACAGCCTTTCAAAGGCTTCCATCCTCTTCATAACTGACTTTGAATACAGAATTTCTTGAGATAGGATGATCGATTTTCACGACATACACATCTTATCGACTCACTGTTACCTCGTAACCATCCGGGATAGTGCTCCTGAACCCTTTTGGATAACAGCCGCGTCGAATGACCTATGTACCTGACTACGCAAGAGCAGGTGAACTGATTTACGCACACAGAAATGGTCAGATGCCAACTTTTGTCCTTCGAGTTGTCAGGGTGTCAGTCAGTTGTCATTGGATGATTAGAGAATACTAGTCTCAGCATCTATGCAAAGAATGTTTCTTTTAGAGTGTTTTGTATCTTTCTGTTGAGAATGACAGTGGCAAAATCACTTTCGAAATTTAGATTCATGTAAAGTATCTATTTTGGCATAGTTGTTCGGTTATGTTTACCATGTTTTGACTTGAAATGTTTGTCTATGAATGGTGATAGGAATCCATTTTCAATCAAAATATTCTTTGGATGAAAACAAATTTCCTGTTATAGCACATCAGAACTTCAGATTCATCTGATACGGGTGGCAAGAGACATGATTAGGTTTCGTTTGTGACTCGTAGGGACGATCCAGTCATGAAAATTCATCAGTTGATCATTCCTAATCGGTTCTATGTAAATGGATTTTCTTGACGTTCTGTTAGTTCTACACCAAGCGAGTGGATCTTTGATACATTTTTGACCTCAAAAGTGAATCCAGCTACTAAATTGCGGCCATTAGATATGTGTAAAATTTAATCCAAGTTACACTGATTATCACAGATATTAAAAGTATCTTTCATGTACCGTGTATACTGTTGAAAACCTTCAACCATTGATTTCAAGGGTCTGTTCACCAAACTGACCATAAACAAATGTGCTTATGGTGGACTTGGAAGCGATCGTATGGCGATTCAATTTTTCTCTTTACAAATCACATCGTTAAATGTGAATTGAATGTCAAATTTGCATCTAAGCTACAGAGGACTGGTATCGCAACTGTCAAGTTGTTATTTTCTATATATCTGACTAAGATAGAGGTGGTCAGTTAGCGGAACATTAATGAGAAGTGACTCGATATCAGTTGTTATCATACATTTATCAGATACATTTGCATCTCTTGTTCAGTCAACAAATATGAAAGTGTCACGTAGAATAGCGGGTGAGAAAAAGTTACAAAGGCTGTATGTCTTTGAACTCTCTGCATTACCAAAGCTGTTGCCATTCATACGGAGATATCTGAGCTTTGTACTCAAATGAAAGTTGTTCAACCTCTTTTCCTTTCATTCTTTCATCCTTTCATTTTCTTTCTGTGGGTGACATCAAAGACCACCATAGCAACTATTCAGATAAGCAATTACCTTCCTCTACTTAATGAAAAATTACTCTCCTAGATGGAATATCTAAAGCTAACTAGTTATTTTGGAAGTTGCTTGTATAGTCTTTAAAGTCACTCCTTTCTATACTGTTGACTTCTTACCCAATTTATCATTCGTTCTTGTTTCTATGCTCTTTCTGATCATACTTCAGTTTCCAGATTTTTAGTTATGCTACGAAGCTTCGTATCCATCTTTATCCAACTTCTGTATTCAATAAGATAGTTAACTATTTAAAGACTCTAATCCATGAGGAAGATTTAACTTAAATAGTGTTGGGTTGAAACAATAAAAATGGTGGTGATAATATTTGACAAAGTGAACCGGTTTACTATTGTTCTTAGCTCTGTTTTATTATTTCATCAATTTAGTCAGCTTTTCAAAGAATGTTAAGCCATTTATTATTACTGTCAAACAACAACTGGAATGATCCGATTTTTCTTTATAAATTTCACTCCTTTTATGCCTTTAGTGTATTCGGTATTTGATTGAACGTATGGTTGAAAGACCGCCAACAATTGTTGAGGAATTTTTCACTGAATTAAAGAAACATCATCTACAGACAATAAAAACCCTAGTTTTAATGCCATCTGTCAGTCGATATAGTTTAGCTGGTAAGTTATTTGTAATTGACTACCTATATATTATTATTATTATTTGTCCCTTGGGTTCCTAGTGGAACATACCGATTCAGTAGCACGTCTCCACTCTCTTCTCTGAAATCTTTTCAACCTGGCTACACGACAGCCCACAACCTCTCATTTCTCTTACTCACACGATCTCCTCCATGTCACTCTCACCTCAAACGCCCAACTCGTCACTTCCCATCTGGGTTCCACTCGAGTACGTGGCGTGGCGCGTGATGTCCCCAGTCGGCCTTCTCAATGCATGCCCAATCCATCTCCACTCCCTTTCAATGCATACTTGTTCAGCGATAGGTTGTTGGTTGGTTCGTTAACAGCCAGCTAGGCAGAGTTCGTTGTTGCTTATTCTTACTATTCTGGCAATCCATCTGAGCTTCAGTGTAGAGCCAGTGTAGGTAGTTGTTGATGAATGTCTCTAGGTTGTTGGAAACGCCTTTCTTAACGTGCCAAGTCTCTGAGCCGTATAGGAGCACTGACTTGACTGGTGTTGGTGTTTTAAATCCGGATGTTGTTCACACTTTATTCTATGTGCTTTAGATCTACATATTGGTTTGAGGTTAATGAATGCCTGTGTTGCTGTGTTTGCGATCGTGGTTGGCTTTGACATTTTCGTGTGTGCCTGTGCTGCGTGTAGTTGAAACAGTGATGCTTAGGTGGTTGGTGAAGGAGGCTACTTCCTTTAGGTTTCTGACATTGATGGTGATTGGTGTCTGTTGTTGTTGTTGTTGTTGCTGTTGGCGTTGGTCGGGTATAATCATCACCTCTGTCTTCTCTACATTCACTTGAAGTCGCGTCTTCGCTGCCCTGCCTCCTCTGTCAACTTGTTAGGTTTCTCCTGTAGAACTTCAAATTTGTTTGTGTGACATTACATTTACTACCTACCTGAAGACATTTTATGTACGACTCTTGATTTTAGTATTTACCATGACTTTGATTCAATGAAATGCTCAATAATATCCACGGATTGCTCCGGTTATTTAAGATATTACTGTTGTTATTATTAATAAGTACTATTGTACTTCGAAGTTTATAGGTATTTCCTTTTTAGGTATGTATTCGTCTCGAACCGATATCAGTTGAAGAACCATTGAAAACCTAAGAGGACTGGATAACTGTTTCATCCTAGCAGGGGATTCGTCTGCAGTGCGCACCGGTGAATCCACCAAGGATTAAACTCAGGAACTTCAAGTTTCATGAGGAACACGTTAGCCGTTCAGTTACTGGATCGGAGTTCAATAGTTCACAGTTTCCTCGTTCTATTAATTCATGATACAACGCTACTATCCACCAAGGTCTTCAATCGGTATCCGCTTCACATCTGACTGGTTGACTCCATAGGTCACAGCTTCTCATTAAACCTTCGTTATATGCATCCGGAAGCGTGTCACTAAAAGATCATCATACAGTAATGTCCAGTGCTGACAAGTTTTCAATCGTTTCTCAACTGATGTCCCTCTGTGATGAATATAACCCCTTAAAATAAAGTACTACTCACAACACAGACTTCGTACATTATGGGTACCAAAAAATGCACCATAAAAAATAATAAAGCAACATTATAAAGACATAGAAAAAGGAAGAGGGAATATAAGCAACATTAAATGTGGTTTATTAAGGGGGCAGTTTGACGGATTCATCCAGTCGCACTTTTGCTGCTTCTGCTATGCTTTTAAGTAATAGAAGAAATAACAAAACTGTAGCTGGTTTCGATTCTCAGCTTTTAATGCTATTGTCTCATCCCACTGATTTGCGTGACCCCTCGAACTCCATGCAAAGATTCACCAGATATCTATTCAAGTTAACCCAACACAACTATCCATCATCCTATGTTATCGTGTCATACACCGGTCATCAATTGCTTGTTTCCACCGCACCACACTGGACGATATGAGAGTTGCTGGAACGAAATGCTTAACACATTTTTAAGCCATCTAAGCCGGTGTTCCAAGATGAGCACACAATGAATGTTGATCTCTATCATGTCCAAACACTTGTTGTTTCACTTCAGAATTACTCAAATAGTGTTTGCACTGGGTGTGTGGAGTCGTCAGACACCGTCATCTCGAAGAGGCTATGTTTCGTGGACGAAGAGCAGAAATGTCTACACTGACGCGTTATATACCCGAGCTTTTACACCAAGTTTAACGTTACAACTGTACCGAAGGTCATCGAGATTGACTTGAACCTTTTGGGCTTTGGATATACATTTGGAAATCTCACTTATCACACTTCCATGAAGACTTAAACAATTACCCATCTCACAAACGTTTCGATAATTTCCAAAGATTAAACAGCAAGAGTGATTTCAGGTACAGGCCCCATGGGATCTCGTAGAGGCACTTTATGCATTGATAACGAAGTACGTACCAAAGTCGATAAGTCTCCATTGGCCACCTAGATGATCATCCCTTGGACCTAAATTCTCGATCTGGTTGTTCAAGTCGGGAGCTAACACTATGATATCTGTCAGGTGCACTTGGTAAAAGTCGCTCAGTCGAAGGTGCTACTATGTATAACACAGTAATCGTTATTACGAAGAATGGTGTAGCATTTTCGTTTTTAGCCTTTTCATTCCATTTTCAGAAGTGTATGGATAACTTGTCTTGCCAAGAACTATTTTGCATATCATATCAAAATAATATTTTGATTTCTAGGTAAGGCTAACACCAGGTACAAAAAGTTAATGTATTCACTAATCGAAATGTTTTTTCTATAAACACTTCATACTACTGCTAAGTAGTTCAAGTGAAACAGGGAAAATGTTGTTATTGTCGGCAAAAGAAAAATCAAGCGTGAATTTTTCCAGAAAATCGAAATATGCTTGAATACAAGACGTTACTAGTTTTGTTATCATATGTAGATTTTAGGACTTGGTATTAACAGATCATTAGTGTGTGTATGTGTGACATAAATATGCTTCCAAATGATATGATAGGCAAGATCTAGCAGGTTATGAGTTCAGGCGAAAAGGACTGATTACCTCATCCTCTTGTTCTCATGTTCACGGTAGAAAGACGAACAGTCATATCGTACCACAGAGTTCAAATGAAAACAAGCAATTAATTCGAACACTAGGTTTTTCTTTGGAACTTTTGTACCAAGCATGCTTTGCTGGGAAAAAGGAACTTATACTCTCAGGATAGGAAGTAGTATCGATGTTTGATAAACTGTTAGTTGCAGACATTTTTTACTAAAATACATTATTTTTGACTCCAGGAGTTTTGGCTCAGTGGTCTGAAGATATAATAATCGACCAGTAAACCATCAGTTCCAACTACTCACCACTTACCTAGTTTTGACCAACTAGGTAGTATCACTGGCCCTCACACAATGGGTGTGATCCACTAAGCCTACTGCATGAATGTGCAAGTAGTAGCTGAGTGCATTTCTTCTTTTTTTAGGAAAAACAGTGTGTTTTGAGTGCTTATAACACAGTGATGCAGTGAAATAGTTTCTCTCTCCACCCAGTTATACTGAACTTAAGTACAATGTTCTGTGTCACCCTATTGTGTAGTTGTGTTTTAGTGCATACAATAGCCGAGTATTTTTCTAGATTATTGGCTTTATTAGGGTTTGTCATTCCATATTTGACTAAAATACTGTGTACGGTTAATCTAACTGACCCTAACCGGCTAGTTTCACCTATGTACTTGACCTCATATTCATTGCATGAAGTTTGATAGAGTAGATTATTTTGCTTAATTAGTTTAATCGAATCTATAAGTTGGCAAAGCTTATCTTTGTGTGAGTTTGTAGGTTTAAATGCTACCCTCATTCCAGCCTTGTTGAGAATCCTACATAAGGTTTCTCATGTTCCTTCCTTATATAGTGATGCAATAGAGGCTTTGAACTTATTTATACTCGTGTTGTTTCAATCGTTCGTATTCGTATAACTGTTACCATCACTTTGTTTCTTACGTGCCCTTTCGAATTTCTTCGTTAACGGTAGAGAGTAATTATTAATCATTAACACTTCTTTGATGTGCTTTTATTACTTGGTTAAGTCCTCACACTGACTAATGAGTTTTCTAGGTCTATCATTTATACATTTGACTAAACCTGCTTTAACTGATGTTGGATGAGACGACTTGAAGTCTAGAATGCGTTGGTTTTGCAATAGAGGGTAGTATCCAAATCACCCATGACCCTACTAAGAATTATGGGTGAATACAAACTTGAAGTAAGTCAATAAATCCCTACAAACACCCGAATCGAACTAATCTAATGCTCATTAGTGACTAGTTTCGAGAGGTGATTCCTGAAGTTCACATGTGAAGTTATGACCGATTTGGCAAACCTAGCAGCCGTGAGGACAAATACTCAACGATGGCGTTGGGTGATGGTCACGCTATTTCGTGAACTGACAGAAGCTGGCAATGTGGACTATTGGATTCTGACCCAGCAGCTCAGTGGTATTGTACAGGCCACGGGACATCAAGGTCTTATATTCGATCTTCATGGGGAGGAGTCATGGGTGGGCACTGCTGAGACTACTTCCTTTAGGTTTCTCCCTTTGGTGCTGACTGGTGCTTGTTGTTGATACTGTTTTTGTTTGGGTATCTTCATCACCCCTACCTCTGTCTTCTCTACGTTCACTTGAAGGAAGTCCCGTCTGCGTTGCCTCACCTCTTCTGTCAACTTGTTGGTTTTTGCCTGTACATCTTCGAGTTTGTGCGACATTAGATATAAATCATCATCGTTGGCGAAATCCAAATCTTCTAGGGTCTTTCCATCGGTCTAGCCAGCGTGTGGCCATCTTCTCGCTGCTCACGGTTTGCTGCATGATCCAGTCGACGACAATCAGGAAGATCATTGGTGATAGTGGGCGGCAGTCTTGTCTTACTCCTATCTCCACTTCACTTCAGTGGCGTCACTGAGCTTTCCATTGTGCATCATTCGGTGTGTGGCGTTTTCATATAGCTGTTAAATGAGGTTGGTGAAAGTTTGTGGTATTCCGTAGTGTTGAAGCAGTCGTCTGCCAAATTACTTGTTGGTCGATGCTGTCTGAGGCCGGCCTTTTCAGTGTCGACAAAGTTGAGGTAGAGGTTTGACTGGTGTTGTATACTCTGTTCTATGATGATGCGTAGCGTTGAGTTGGGATTTGATCCGCACATGATTTGTTGTTGCTGAAGCCATCCAGTGTGTTTCGGTGATAATTTTGAGTCGACAGCACCTTTTAATCTCTCGAGGATGATGTGGCATAATATTTTGTTTTGGATGGACAGGAGCATGATTCCTCGCCAGTTCTTGCAAAGACTTAGGTCCCCCTTGATTGGTAGTTTGACAAGGTAGTCGTTCTTCCAATCAGTCGGCAGGTAGCTTTCCATCCTTCCTTGCAAACGTTCTGCAGTAGTGGTGTGAGCATGTCTGCTGTTGTCACTGTGTCTGTTTTCAGTGCTTCTGGCGGAATTCCATCTGGTCCTGCTGCTTTGCCGTATTTCAGCAATTTTATGGCTTTCAGGACTTCTGGTTTTGTCGGAGGGCCTGTGTTCACTGGTATTTGTGCGGTTGCTGGTGGTTTATCTGGACGACCTGCAGACGGTGGTCAATTCAGGAGTATTTTGAAGTGGTTAGCTTATTATTTCCTTTGTTTCTACTCTTTGTTAACTAGGTTTCCTTCACTACCTTCCGTGAGTTTCGTCTGCATTTATCTTTTTCCGGATAGTAACCTGGTTATTTGATATGATGTTGTCACGTCTCTCCTACCTACAGCCTGTTCTACTTCACTTGTCAATGTGTCGTAGAAGTGTCTTTTGTCTTCGCGTGCACTCTTTTTCACTTCTTTGTGCAGTGTTTTGTACGTTATACTTAGTTTGTCTTTTCGCTGTGCATCCTTGCCTGTACTGGTTTATCTTCTGCTTCACCATCCTCCTCTCCCTGCTCTATCAGCTTCCTTGTATTCGTCGAGATCCATTCCTTGTCCTGTTTTCTCTTACATCGTAATACGGTTATGCAGGTTTCTTTACACATAGCTTTCACATAGTTCCAGTGTTCTTACACACCCCATCCTTCAGGGATGTTGCTCAATGTCTCCCATTTTGTCCTGATGACTGACGTAAAGACTTCCTTTGTAGTTTCGTCCTTCAGTTTCTATACTGGGTGTTAAACTCGAAATGTGGTCTATCACCAACTTCTTTGCAGGCTTTCAACAGGATTTTGAAGTCAGGTTCCCTGCACTAGACAGTGAGTGGTGCGAACCTACATCTGCTCCCCTTCTTCATCTTGTCCCAAGTAGGCTGCGTCTCCACTTTCTTCACATTCACATGAAGTCGATTGGATTTTCAGTGTAGTGTGTCCATCTAGTGAAGTCCATATCGCTACCTTGTGAATACCTTTGTATTTGTACACACTGCCTCGAATCAGCATATCGTTGAATGCACAGAAGTCTGCAAACAGTTCTCCATTCTCACTCATCATTTCACCAAGTGCTTCTCCACCCATCATGAGTTCTCTTCCTATGGTGTCCACTCCGAGTTTGGCTGGCATTCATGTCACCCCACCCATTAGAATTTTGATGTCACTGTCGCCAACTGGAGTCTTGTCTATTACTGATTGCTGTTCTCTTTAGACTTCCTCCTTCTTCTCTTCATCTGTATTATTTGTAGGTGCACAGCGTAGCATTGTATGATTGTGACTTTCCTTCCATTTGGTTTGAATTCCTTTTGAGTTGAATCCATCTTGCTGTCATGATCCTGATCCTACAGGAGGAGATTGGTTCGCACTGCATGAGAACCTTCAATGCTGTAGGAAACATCATGATAGCCATTCCGAAACTCAGTGTGCTTGTGGTTGTCGTGTGAGTGACAATATCTGAGTAGATTATTGACCTCCTCTCAAGTTGACAGTTTGGAGAGTCCACTTCCCTTCCATCTTCAGATTCCTCTCAGATTCCAAGCACTTCCATGCCATATCTTCTCATCTCCTTGTTAGGTTCATACATGGTGTGGACATTCCATTTCCCCATCCTTATTCTCGTTTTCATCGAGAGAGAGAGAGAGAGAGAGAGAGAGAGAGAGAGAGAGAAGACACATCGGCCGACTGGATCCTCAGAGGCTTTCACCAACCAGCGTCATTGAGTCTCTCCGATTCCAGGGAGGAATATGTTTGTTTTCATGTTTTATATTTTCTTTACGCTTTGAAGTTTGTTTAGCAATTGGATTGGTTTTCCGGTCTAGGGTTGCTAGCCGTATGCTCAACCTTCTCTCTTTAACCGGGCATAGGACCGGCTAGTAACTAGTGAACTAGTTAACCAGGTGAGGTTAAAGCCACTGTACTTAACTCCAATATATCAGAGATATAGAAAACTGTGCTACCAATATAAGCAAATAATATCAGGTGACAGGACTTTAAAAATCAGATGTTGAAAGTGGTGTGATTACATTGATATGATTAGGGGCGATAATTTATACTGGAAACGTCATCAAGTAAATAATTCCGTATCACGGTGTATTATATATCAAATGAACAAATTTAATATGGACTTATGTATATTGTTGCAAATTTTCTACGTCTAAAGATCTGCTTCGAACTTACAAAATGATTGCCGTTCATTCGGAAGGTATGGGTGAATGTATGAGGTAAATTAACTTATAGGAAATGATGACTTTGGAATGAGGCATAAAAATTATTGCTATTTTATTATTTCCCCTTTTCCTTCCCCCTGATTATACAGATGCCGATATTAACCGCTTAGACGATATACGTGAACATGCTATGGGTGCATTAACCGCTTTTACATGTCCGTTGTCTACAGTATGCGTGTCAAATGAACCGTCAAGTGGTTTGAATACTGACACTTCTGATACAACTATCATGAAGCCGGTGAAATTTTCAATTCGAACTCATGAGGTCAGTGTTGTTGCTTTTCGTTGTTTTGTTAATGATAATTTGTTTATTTAGTTCGTCGTTAGATGCTGATAGTGTAACCTGTGTAGTTTATGTGAAAAAAATGGACATCACACAAAATTGCTTTTTTAGTTTAGACAACGAAGCATAGAACGACTTTTGCCAACAATTCAGAAATTCCAATAGTCCACGTTGGCGTTTTTTCTCCAGCAGAGTGTAGATTTTCAAATGACCAACTGCGGTGTCAAGAGTGCTTTCATTGTAAATTACTCATCTACTGAAGTCACAAGGTGTGACCTTTGACACAAAAGTGTCATAAACTAGCGAATGATACTACTACTAAAAACTCCGAGTAGTCACAAACCACTCAGACTGATCTGTAGATTCCGCCAGCCAGCCAGTCAGCCAGATCACAGTGATACAAACACTAGACAGATGTTTCACTCGTTTGGAGAACAGCTCATCAGTGGTGTACCCAGATAAATTCACCTCTGCACTGATTACCTCGATGCCGAAGGGGCGAAACGACCTTCTTGTACTTAACACCACTCTCATATGACTGGCTAGCGAAATACTACAGATCACCTTGAGTCGTTTCTAACTATTCAAGTTGTTTAATTGAGACTGGTGAGTTTTAAAAGATCCCATCATGTAAATTAGAACAAGACGTGTATTGGCGAATAATATTGTTTTCAATCACATCCCCTTCAGGCTTCACTTTAGTATGAATAGCTACATATATATAAACCAATCACGTAGATTTGTTGTTTAGTGTGATATGTGTTTTAAACATAACGATGGGGATAATAATAAAATGCAATTTAGTAGACTCAGTTGGTTTATTCAATAGATACGATAGAATTTGGGGGGATTTAGTGATTTTTCTAGTTGGTATTCATCATGAGCTGACACCAGCTGGAGGAAAACTTGAAACTTGGGAGCACTGAGTAGGTGTTTCGTCCTAGTATAGGACTTCTCAGCAATATGAACCCCTGAACCTTGCTAGGGATCGAACCCTGGTTCAAATTTGTTGGTCTAAACACTTCTGGTAATCTTATCCTGAATGTGTCTCTGACATACCTTCGTTGTATGATGACACTATAAAGGTTGTAAAATGTTTCTCAGTGGTCTGACTATCATGTGTTATTTGCGACAGGATCAGTGCTGTAGTCTAATTTATGACTTGTATACCGGAAGATATAAGTAAGACTTGTCTGCTGCAACTAGTCTCAGTTTAATGATAAGGAATGAAGTAGTAGAGCGTTTCGACCACTTCACTCACTTGGGGAGTTGCATCAGTCCGAACTGAGTGATTGCTGATACTAGTCAAGAAAAGCAAGGCGATCGATGAAGTTGTGAACTTTCAGTGACTGAAATGGCCTAGACATGTGCCTCACATACTGATTCACCTCGACGTGCCATACTGAGGGAAGTTGGATTACTTTAGAAGAAGGCTTGGGGTGGCCAGACCAAGACCTGGAACCAATGCATGAAGTCTCTGACTGTTGGTCTAAGTCGTGTTGGGAGATGTAGACTGCCTGGTTAGGGTACAGTTTTTAACATTATCAGTGAGATTAAAGTCAGTATTTGTCCCGACCAACTTATGGACATACTTATTTTTTTACAGTTACAGCCTAGCAGTTCAATTTGGTCGAGCACCGGGACAGAAAGCTCATAGTGGCTTGTTCGAATCCGGTCATGGTTCGAATTTCCATTTCACCTTTAATCATCACCCAGTGTAGTTACTGGTTTGTTTAGATGCTGAAGTACGGTATCTTACAAATGTTCAAAACAAATCCTATATCCTTGTAGTTCAGCATTCTTTCCCGTGGAACATTCTGTGAGGCAGATAAACAGATAAAATCAACGTAGAACTTTGCACAGTACTCATATATTATGATTTTGTGGATAAATTATCAATTGAGAGAATGCAGATCACCTGACTGGAAAGATCATCGATCTTGAATATTTCTATGGAAATTAACCAGTTGGCCTACGTTACCTTTAATTTATCTTAGAAATATTTCTCATATAGCAGACTGTTCGGTGGCCACTCGTAAAATCCAGGACGCGGATTTCATTCTGTTTGGGGCTGGCGCGATGTATGTACTTGCACCCCAGTGGATGTTGTTCCCACTGGACCACGCACTCATCGTTTCAAAAACCAAAGCGTTATACACTAAAGCATTGGGGCACATGGGCAACCTCTTGTTCACTGGGTACCACTTGTTGTTTATTGATATTTGGAATTTCGCATTGTTATATAGGGTTGGATTTCTCGAACTTTGTTGGCAGTTGGGTTCGGGTCACAGTGGAAACAACACCATTGAAGAGTCCTAAATAAGACGAAACATGCGTCGTGAATTCCACTGCTAGCTACGAAATAGACTAAAATGTAATGGATATTCAAGTAGTATCGAAGTATCCACATAGGAGCTCATCTGCTAACAGAAGTCAATCAATTCGACTCAGTTTAGAAACGGGAAATTACCATTAATAGTCCATACTTAGACGCTATTCTCACTTGTATTTTTCCTGTTGATAGTAAAATTCTTGGTTTTATGAAAGAGCAAGAATATGCTGGATTTTATTCATTCTTTTCTCGAATTGTAGGATATTTTGAGCATCAGTGTGATATTTAGCCTGTTATACTGAACATTTTCTTGTATCTTAGACTTGATATCTTTCGGAAAATTATAGTTTCTACTTACTTTTAATTAAGTAGTATTTCTTATGCCACAAAATTTACTGGTGCTGGAAGCATTTTTGCATGTATGAGGATAATTATTTTTTCGTTTGTGTGTTTTTCTAATTCCTTCAATGGTCATATAGACTTTATTTAATAGCTTTAAGGGGAATTATAGGGTTTTTTTAATATTTAATCCTGTGTAATTGTTCTCAGTGAGTTGGTTTTATTCACCTCACAAATTTGTAATTATCATTTAAATTTAGAGGTAGTATTCATCATGGACTGGATTCATATAAATCATTTTAGTGGTTAAATACTCAAATCGCTTTTATTTTAATTTATTTTATTTTAAGTGAATTTTAGAGTTGATCCTTTCTTGTTTATAAGTTGAATGTGACTTGAAAGGTTGTTATAATTAAGTAGGAATTGGAATGTATAATATAGGCTTGAGGTAGTTTGCTTATACGACAGAACACATTGACTAGCTGGATAATTCTTGTATATGAACTATTGTTGAACTTTGCAAAATTTACTGCTTGTGGGGGTGGGGGTACTTTGCCGATGGTGTGCAGTTCTTATTTCTGTTTTGTAACATCAATTTTTTTCAAAATTATAATCTCATATTAGCATACTTATTAAATGCATTACACAGATAGACAGAGAGACGAAATCAACGTGGAATCTCGCTGACAAGTTCATCGGTTCAAGTTGCCATACTTCACAGCAGTATGTAAACAACAGGTATTTAGAATAGGAGCGATATCAAAGCACGCATGAGAAAATAAGCAATCTGAAGATAACGGTTAGTGCGAATATTCAACCTTTAGAAGATGTTAAGTAATGAATGCATCTGCACCATTGTGACGGATTTTCAGTCATATCACCAAGAGTCACTAACCACTATTTCCTTTGGTCTAGGACACCATAGTCAGATATAGTACGTCTCCCCACATGACTTAGAACAACAGTTAGGGACTTCATGGACTAGTACCATGTCTGACCACTCTGAACGCATTGCACAGTGAAAATGTATTGTTTAGTAGAAAACATTCCAGACACATTGGATTGTTCACATTCATATGTGGTATTTAAAGGGAAAATCGTGTTCAAAATCTTATCCAGTACATAACACTGTCTCATTGTATGACATTAAATAGACAGAGTAAAATGGATTTATAATCTACAACAGTGCCGAAGTTTTACTGCTATAATCGCAAAACTGTTTAGATTGGTTTGTTAGTTACGTTTTTCTCATCTTAGTGCACTGCTGATCTTATCCTTAGGTTATAGAGACAGCTATCTTTTAATTGACTCACTTCAATCTAGCTCCTCATTCTTTCCAACAGAACTTAACTGTATCCATGAGTGGGTATTATGATCTCTGACAATTTACTAAAGTACGTATTGTCGATATTGTAAATGCGCTTTGCATTTAAGTTATAGTATGCACGAAACATATTCTTATCGCTGTTGTTTTGTTTTTCTTCAAGGTTTTAAGTTCGTGATGTCTTGCATTTGCTCCATCTTTTCAAAAATAAAATATAACCCCATCTGCGAATTTAGAAAAGAAACAAGTTGGAAGAAGAAATACTTCTTTTTAAGTAGCATATTGTCGATGGTTCTATAGTGATAGATAGGCTTTTTTAAAGAAGGAAAAGCATATTAGTCTAGTGGTGACAACGAGTCAGTAACATTGATCTTGGTGACTAGCAGAGGAATACAGAATGCGCGCTTCGTCTTATTTTGGTATTCGTCAACTGGATGTACCTGCATCCCAGTGAGTGATGTTGTTACCACCGTGGCTCTAACCTAGTACTCCTCGCTTCAAACACTAGAGCGTTATCCACTGAACCAATGGGGCGCGATAACCACCTCTTGTACAATGGGTAGTCAGTAACATATTCATGATGGAGTGACGTAAGTTGGGAGACTGTTGGAAACCTTAGAGCACTGGATGAAACAGCTGTTCCGTGCTGTAAGGTGTTCAGTGCTTCTCCAACTAATGTCAATCTGTGATGGATTCTACCCTTAAAAAGGAGTCCTCATGAACTTCAAATCACTTTGATAATGAATTGTCATTCTGTTGGTTGATTCACCAGGGAGTGAACAATTTCATATTGTCTAGTTCTAAGTACTGATTATCGAACTCCAATTATCAATTATGTGATAATTAATCACAGCAAGTACAACAGTAGCTATTATGTATGCAGTAATATTTGCAAAACATTAAACAGATTGTTACAAAACTGATGGTTTGTATAATAGTAACTAATTAGGGGGGAGATTGAATGATTCCGGTCAGTTGTTAGCAGTA